CCCATGATTGGATAGTGAATACTAATCATTACAACAGAACTCATTGTTGCAACATGTTTGCAAGAACCAAACTGCCCTGCTTGTTATTTCGACACACATGACTAGAAATAGACAAATTTGATAGGATAATTTTTTTGGCAAAAAATTTTCAATATAACTTTTTATAAAATGTTTTCTATCTTGACAGGTGTCAAAGGTGAATCTATTTTTGATATTAATTACACATGTAGTTTTTTTCACTATGACAGCAAGAAAATGAAAAGTAGTTTTGAATTACTTGTGAAAAAATGCAAGAAAAATCACTTCAACAAAAATCAGTTTCCAGAACTGAACATGTATTTTAAGTGTTTTTATCGACCAATGATGTTTTCTAATGAAGAAGGCTTTTAAGTTCAAACGTATTCTTCATAGCTGTTAAGAAAACAGAGCTGTTTGCGATACAGTCTTTCAGCGTGATCAATTAGGTGAAATTTCTTGACATGTCTATGAACGATCGAGGCAATATACTAATTGGTTAGTTTTGTGTTGCTGGCGAGTTGACTTGGCAGTAGATTTTAGCGATAAAATACCTCGAGTACTTCCAGTGGCTGCAAGGAATGGTAAGAATGGCTAGAGTAATTGTTGTTGGGTAATCGGGCAATTTCAGAACGGTGATCGACTATCTCTTGGGGAATTGGGGAAAAATAACTGAAAAATCCAGAACGTAAACGAGGAAGTTCGCTAGATCTGAAGCATGACAAGCCAATTAGTACAATCAATAAGGAAAGTGCTCTAGGTGCAATTCGTTATAGGTTGAAATAAACCAGTAATATTATAAGTGGCTTTTTATTGACAAAAGTGATAGTTATGGCATAAAAGATACAATACAATACAACGAGCTATGTTGTCAGCGGATGTTCCTGCAATTCTGGAACCCTTAGGTATACCAGTCGAGATGATGGTAAACGACCTTATGGTATGTCTCTCATACCATGAAAATACGGTAAACCTGTGGTATGGGATTTTACTTGCGTCGACACGGTCGCGGCTTCCCATCTAGCCGAAAGTTCCAAGTCTGCTGGAACTGCAGCATTGTCTGGCGAGAAATTGAAAAGGAAAAAATACCAAAATCTTGGAAACAACTATCTGTTTCATCCAGTAGCGGTTGAAACTTTTGGTGTTTATGGCCCGGAGTCTCTGTTATTCGTTCATGAACTCNGAGGTCACTTGAAATTGTTCGAAGAAAAATCATATCAATGAATTCGAGAGTATTTATAACACTTTTTACACTTCAATATTCTTATATTGAACATTTAATTCTTAAATACTATAAAAAGACATCTGACATAGTAGTCATAAATGAAATAAAAAGTAAATAAAAAGTATATCATGCACACATGGACAAATGCGAATCTGAGTGAGGGGTAATAAAAGACTGGCTTGCATAAAATTGTAGTAAAGAAGTATCAGTCGTGAAAAAGGTATTACACCCTTGGAAAAGGATCGGAAATGTGTTTTTAACGATGTAGTTTTTCCTTGAGGCTCTTACAAGAGAGGCTTGGAACATGGGAAATAAAAATAAATATGTTTTTATCGTGAGTGGGGTAATGAAACATATTGATTCTTTGCCAGGAAGAACATACTCAAGGAAAGTCGCCAAAACCAAAAGTTTTCGTACAGATTTTTTGACTGTCAACCTATTTAGAACTGTTTACGATCTGCTAGATAAACATATATGATTTGAAGATACTGTAACTTTTTGAATAGAAGCGAAGCCAAGCAGCATTTTGTATTTTGATTGCTTTGAGTTTTTTTTTCAGTTCGAAACACTCTTATACCAAAGGATATTTCTTCTGATATAACCTCTGAAAAACCATATGAAGAATATTATTTGATTGAATTGATGATGACTGAAAAATAATATTTTGAAAACGAGAACATTTATTTATAACGCAATCTCACAGAACAATTGGTTAAATTATATTTTGAATTCATTTTGAAGAGATATGTTTGAGATATTATCAAGGATAATGAATATTATTACTGAATCTACAAAATAATAGTGAATATTACTGGAGTATACCAACCTAAATTAATTTTACAATTTTGCCTTATCTATTATTTTACAATATATGTTTATATAAAACAATTCTCAGCTATATAAAAATTAACACACATATAACAGTATCATAAATACATCATAAACAAGTGACTGTGAAGTCTACAAACACTACAAACAACAAACAAGTGACAATAAAGACTACACATTTTATATTTATCAAAGGTGACAAAATAATTATTTTAGGAAGTGGGATTTTATATCTAACAATTTGCAACTAAATATATCTGAATTATCGCTAACACTTTACACATGGTATGGATCGGAGAATCCTCCAGAACATTTGTGCGAGATGTTTTCATATAGGAAGTACTCGGGTGTCTGGAACAAATTCTAGGAATCCAAATATGAAACTTTTCCAGTAATGTTGGGCAGTCAACTATGCTTTTGATAATTTTATAGGTTAGTACAACACTATAATATTCACGCCTTTTTTTTCGATACTTTATGCGAGACTTTTATGAGAAGTTATGCTTTTGTAGCAATTCAGAGTGGGTTGTTCCTATTGGAGGATAAATACCATCGGTTTTTAGGCTTAGCAGTTTTAAAAATCGTCGTTGAATTGCTTCTTTTCTATCAACTTTTTTCACACAACTGACGCGTATTCTAACTTTGATCTTGTGAAAACATAGAATAAAGTTTTTAAGGTCGAAGTTTCTTTGAAATCACTACTGTTACGTGCAAATAATCCGTACAAAGGACAGGAGGAGGTTACGACATTATCGATATGCCTATTAAATGATGGTGCAGAGTCAAATGTGACGACAAGATCAGTAAATGTTTCTGGTCTCACCAGCGAAACGTTTTCTATTGCATGATAATCAAAGATCAAGATGTTCGTTTTCAAACTGTAGGACATGACCTTACATTTATCTGGACAAGTTATTTCGATAACACCATTCTACAATCCGTCCTACGTTTGCTGAGAGGTTCACACAATCATCTCAGTTCTCAACGAGGCAGTATAGTTTTAGATCATCGGCATTCAAATGGAAATACACATCTATAACATCTGCAATATTTTTAATGAAAATATTGACGAGCAACGGTCCCAGCTTTGACCCTTGTGGAACACCGGAAGAAGCACTATATTCGGTAGAATTGAAATCATCGAGCTGAGCATATTGTTTTCGATCTCGTAGATAGGAGTGAAAGAGTGCGATTAAGGATGGAGATAATCCAAAGGCTACTAGTTTGTTTAGTAGAATGTCATGGTCAAGCCTGTCGAAGGCCTTAAAAAAGTCTGTGTGCATAACATCAGTTTGAGCCCTATTGTCAATAGATTCAGCAATATGTTGGGTTACAGTCAGACGATTGGTGACCGTTGACCGATTTTTCATAAAACTGTGTTGGTTTATACTTATATTGCAACACATGCCAATAAATAACTCGCTGCAGCAGAAACTCAAAAACGTTTTCCCAGGCACCGCTCTTAGAGCGCCTCAAGGATTTTTCAGTGGTGCTCAAAAACGATCCAACATCAGATAGCACTGTTTCGACTCGCCATAGATCTCGTCAGAGGTGTTAAGCCCCTGTGTTTTGAGAAATAATCTGAATTTCCGAAGAGATTTCAAAAGGTCACTTGAAATTGTTCAAAGAAAAATCATATCAATAAATGTAAGAGTATTTATAACACCTTTTACACTTCAATATTCTCATATTGAACATTTAATTCTTAAATACTATAAAAAGACATCTGACATAGTAGTCATAAATGAAATAAAAAGTAAATAAAAAGTATATCATGCACACATGGACAAATGCGAATCTGAGTGAGGGGTAATAAAAGACTGGCTTGCATAAAATTGTAGTAAAGAAGTATCAGTCGTGAAAAAGGTATTACACCCTTGGAAAAGGATCGGAAATGTGTTTTTAACGATGTAGTTTTTCCTTGAGGCTCTTACACGAGAGGCTTGGAACATGAGAAATAAAAATAAATATGTTTTTATCGTGAATGGGGTAATGAAACATATTCATTCTTTGCCAGGAAGAACATACTCAAGGAAAGTCGGTATATACATTATTTTCTCGTTATAAAACTTCCAACTTTTTTTGCCAAAACCAAAAGTTTTCGTACAGATTTTTTGACTGTCGACCTATTTAGAACTGTTTACGATCTGCTAGATAAACATATATGATTTGAAGATACTGTAACTTTTTGAATAGAAGCGAAGCCAAGCAGCATTTTGTATTTTGATTGCTTTGAGTTTTTTTTTCAGTTCGAAACACTCTTATACCAAAGTATATTTCTTCTGATATAACCTCCGAAAAACCATATGAAGAATATTATTTGATTGAATTGATGATGACTGAAAAATAATATTTTGAAAACGAGAACATTTATTTATAACGCAATCTCACAGAACAATTGGTTAAATTATATTTTGAATTCATTTTGAAGAGATATGTTTGAGATATTATCAAGGATAATGAATATTATTACTGAATCTACAAAATAATAGTGAATATTACTGGAGTATACCAACCTAAATTAATTTTACAATTTTGCCTTATCTATTATTTTACAATATNTTCCTCTTTGAAGATGATCACTTGGTGATCGAAACACGTGTCGAGGTGGTTAAAATAACGATTTGGTGTTGGGAAAAAACTCCAGTAATATTCATTACTACACCAAAGGTTCCAAACAGTGCATCATAAGAAAATAATAGTGGTTTCTGTAATACGTGCTATTCTTTTCTTCTATTTTCGGTGCTCTAATTGTCAATAATAACGTTATATGCCTTGGTGGAATACTGTCTCAATGAAGAATGTAGACATAGAAAAAATGAATATTATTTATACATGTGACTCAATTTTCATTTTGTGTAGTTGATGTTTTGCAATATTTTTTAGGATATTACAAAAAAAATATAATTAATTTGTGTGTCCTTTGTTCCAGGATTTCAACCAATCGTCACGGTGATGGGCCGCCCTATGACCGCCCTGCCGAGTCAGAACTCTTCCGAAACGCCAGAAGTAGTGTTCCAAGGAGCGCGCTCCAGCAATTTCGCGATCGAGACCGAGAAAACTGTTCAAGTATGACGTCACATGTTCGAAACTAGTCGCACGGAGCCCGAAATTTACTGAGTTCCTAAGACTGATCGAGTACTGTATGGGGAGTACCTGTGAACGTGGAAAGTGATTCTGTGCGAGAAGACTGAAAGTGATAAACTTTTTATTAAAAATTGAATCTCAATGTATATGTGTATAAAAACTAGTCTAAATCAAAATGGCTCTTCGGGGGCTGGTAGGGAGTGAGAGGGGTGGAAATATGGAGATGACTGCAGAGTTTGAGAACTATGCAGAAGCCGACGATAAGGGTTTAATGAAATCCAGTTCAAATATTTTCCTCGAGTACCAAATATATTGATGTACAGTTTGTTTATTGAAATCCTTCCCAAAAAGAAAAGTTGACAGGTGTGGGATTGTTTCATAGACTATAAGGCAAGTGGCGCCATTTTGTTGGTATCAAATGTGTTGGAGATCCCAGGCTTCCATGTTATACAACTTCATTAAACTATCATGATATGATGACGACTTTCGAAAGTAATCTGGTTGTTCTTTACCTCAGATACAGATATTTTGCTTTTATATTGTTTGTAGGAAGAGTATATGGACCATAAGTTGCTCTGTGCACGGAATACATTCCTCCTGCAACGTTATTTTTCATAATACTTCTGGATATTTCGTAGACTTGTTCATGGAGATCCTAATGTTAAAGAAAATTAGATAAAATTATCATCCAATATGAAATCTCCACGGCAAAATGACCTCTGAGTGGATCACTCATTACAAAACTGGAATAAATGTCCCTGATATCAAGTTGACTACCAATGAATATCCCGGACCACTGAATCCTTTTCTAGTGAACAGATTTTATTCACAAATTTCACTCAATTTATTGATTACTAGCGAAGGTAATTCGGAAAACTTATTTTGCTAATATTGTGTTAACATTTTGAAAATTGCTACGTCAAATTCCAAGATAACACTCCCACCTCAATAAAGAGTAAATTTTGTCCTTATTATCAAAACAAATTCCCACCGACAAAAATTCTGGAATCCATCCTCGGAAGATATTTTCTGTTTGCTACTTCATATAATTTCATATGCATTGGAGTTGACAAGTAGCAAGATAGGGAATATAACTCTTGTCTAATTTCCACCAAAATTTTTATTTCGTTATGACCGGTTTCGGTTTATTGAACCATTATCAAAAGTAATTTTTCGTATCCTCTATTTATTATGAATTTCTACAAAATAAATAGCATCAATTGAACAAGTGGCAGATCCTTTTGTGAGAGTGTTGAGTTAGCAAATACAAACATGCCTACAACTCAATCATTCTCTAAATCACCACCCTTCTCATGGCCTAATTTTTTCCTCCAGCACAACCGAAGCGCTTGAATAAATATGGAGTGATTCCGCATTTGACTGAAATAATTTTTATTCTGATTGTGGACTACTGTTGCTAATGACAATTTCATTAAAATCTCATGTTTGACGTTGTATAGATGCTTACTATTATTTTTGACTGTGTTATTTTTGTTAGATCTACTTATTTATTATTGAAATGACTAAGGAGTCTTAGAGAATGTAACTCTGATGCTGATAATGAAGTTTCAAATCAGAAGTTTGTTAAATTTCGAAATCTTACAAGAAGATCTTTGAAAAT